GGTATGTTTGCTTTACAACTAACATTTTGTTTCAAAATAGAAATATTAAATAATAATTTGGTAAAAGTTATTATTTTAACTATATAATTCTATTCTCGCGCAACGCGCAGGGATTCGCCTAGTTAATATATGTATTATGAATCATAAAACGCTTAGTGATATAATACTTACAATCATTTTTAATAGTTTGCGTAATGTGAAGGTCATAAAATAAAAGATGATTAAAAAAGGAGTAAATTACACGAATGGTCCCTATGGTTTGGGGTAATTTACGCGTTTGATCCCTAACTTATTTTTTTAGCTCGGAAGGTCCCTATTGTTTGTTTTTGTTATCCGTTTGGTCCCTACTGTTTGTTTTTATTACACGTTTGGTCTCTGTCTTACCTAAAAAGATTATTATTTAAATAGAAAAAATAGTGGGGTATGTAAGGTAAGGTGATTGTTTGGGGTTGGGGGTGTGTTTATTTAAATAAATTAAAAAAATCAAGAGAAAAATAGTATTTTTAGGTAAAACATGGACCAAACGCGTAACAAAAATAAACAGTAGGACCTTCCGAGTTAAAAAAAATAAGTTAGGGACCAAACACGTAAATTACCCTAAACCATAGGGACCATTCGTGTAATTTACTCTTAAAAAAATAAGAGTAAATTACACGAATCGTCCCGTGCCAAGTACATATTTAGTCCCTATTTTCAAAAATTAACTCGGACCATCCCTTATTTTATTAAAAATTGCATGCTTCATCCCTCGTTAGTTTAAATCTACACGTTTCATCCCTTGCAGGACTTGAAAAGACCATATTAGACTAAATTGCATGCTTCATCCCTCGTGCAGGTGCCAAAATACATGTTTACTCCTTATTTTCAAAAATTAACTCGGATCATCCCTTATTTTATTAAAAATTGCATGCTTCATCTCACGTTAGTTTAAGTCTCCACGTTTCATCCCTTACAGGACTTGAAAAGACTATATTGCCCTTGTTTGATTATTTTTTTTATTAATTACAATATTTAAAAAATGAAGTGGGCCTCTCTCTCTCTCTCTGCTATTCTCTCTAGAAAAATAAACCCGATATCTCCTTCACTTCCGCCATTTGCCACCATCATCTCCC